ATCTTATGTTGCCAACCAAATGGTGCTCACGTCCTCTCCCTCACCAACACCAGTCCCTTTTGTCCCTAAACCATCAGAGGTTAGTCGTTGGAAAAACGTAGGGGTCACTAAAACACCAAGGGGGAAATGGCAACTACCTAATAAAAAAAGGGACCTGCCCCAAGCGGCTTTGCGGCCTGCCCTACTTAAACTACACCAAAAAACACACGGTAAAGCAAAAGCTATGGCAGCTACCGTAAATAACTTCGGTATGCCCCTGGGGTATTCCAAAAAGCCAAACAAGTCCTTTCCACCTGTAACATTTGTGCAAAATTCAATAAAAAAAACCCAAAAGGCCCCCCCGAAGCAAGGTTATGGGCATAAACGTCCTTTAAACGGCTCCAAATTAACTACTCAAAAATGCCCAAGTGCCAAAGCTACAAGTACCTCCTTGTAATTGTATGCCAACTAACTGGCTAAACCAAAGCATTCCCAACTAAACAAGCAACTGCCTTAAAAGTAAAAAAACCCTTATTAAACCATGTCATTCCTAGGTTTGATCCTCCTAGGTTTATTAACTCTAATAAAAAAACCTCATTTGACCGCCCAGGTTATTCAACACATTGTTAAGGCCCTAGGTATTACCTGGCTTCTACATACCCCTTAAAAACCACCATCTTCTAAACAAATAAAAAAAATAAACCAAACTTTAAAGCTTAAGCTCTCCAAATTGTGTGCACAAACTGGGTTAAAATGGCTTCAGGCTCTACCTTTGGCCCTCTTGGCAGTTCAAACTGCCCCTAGGGGCTGGCTTGCTCTCTCACCTTTTACACTTTTATTTGGCAAACCATACATCAAATTTGCTAACCCAAAACCTGTAACCAATTTAGCCACTTAAAAAAATAAAAAGTTAACCAAATACGTTGTTTCCCTCCAAAACACTCATGTCTCTTCACAGGTATGCAGCTCAATTTCAGTCCCTACCTGCTAATGTACCTGCTCACCAAATCAAGCCAAAAAATTGGGTCTATGTAAAAAAGTAAAAAAACAAGCCTCTCCAACCCTGGTGGGCTGGTCCTTTTCAAGTCCTTCTTATCTCCCACACTGCCATTCAAATAAAAAAAAAAACCTAAATCCACCACACCCGGGTCAAGCTAGCCTCTAGGCCGGGGCCAAAAGCAAACAACACCAAACTTCAAAAAAGCCCCACCAGCTCTTCCCACCGCAACCCAAAAAAGCCAAAAGCAAACAACACCTAAAATATTAAACCTCTCAAAAAACTAAAACTTTTGTTCCAACAAGCAAAATCCTAAAACTTTGTAACTATAGATTTGCAAATGGTGCTGCAGTGGCTATTATTTTTAAGCCTGCTCCTTATACAAGCCAACCCGCACCCAGCAGCCAAACCCCTTCAGCAACTGGCCACATTAAAGCACTTATCTGACTGCTGGTTGTGTCACCAAACTCATTCTAAAAAAAAAAATAAAACTGTGGGCTGTGCCTGTAAATCTCTCCAAAGCACTCTCCCTACAGGTAGTACAAAAAACGAAATAATAATAAAATAAAAAGTACCAGTCCAATAAATATAAAAAAATGTCTAAAGTTTGGCATTATAGTTAAAAGGCCAAGGGGATCCCTCTCTTTAATATTCTTAAAATCAAATACAAGTTGGCCCTATGTTTCAAAGTGATTAACAAAACCAAAATAAAAATGGGTTACCTCCCCCTAAAAGTCTGTAATCAAACCCTTCAGTTTAGTATTAAAAATAAAACCTTTTACCCCTTAAAAACTGTTAAAAATGCCCAAAAACCTCCCTGTCAATTTCAGAAGGCCTATATTGCAGCATTAACAGGCAAGCATTATAAAAAAAAGTAAATTCCTTCATTCCTTCCATTAAGTCCCATAAATAAAACGCATACATATTATATAAACATTTCCTCTGGTATTTGTCACCTCACTCATCCCTTAAAAAAATTTCTAAGTGCCAAAAAGCACTAATAAGCTTTACCTCACATCTATTTGCTGTTACATATTGTGAGGGCATCCTAGACAACACCCATGCCCTAGGTCCCATTGGCGGTGCCGGGACCAAATAGTTGGCAACTCCAAGCATCAAAATGTCAGGGTAAATTAGCGCCACCAAGTAGCAAAAAGCGCTCTCATGCATAATTTACAAACTCCTGGCCTGTATTTCATCTGTGGCCATAATGCTTACAAAGCCTTCCCGCCGGGTTGGCGCGGCCGGTATAATGTAGCCAAAATAGTACCAAATGTTCAGGTAAACACCATGCTAAACTCATGCCAAATCCTCAACCTAAAAACCTATTCTCACAAGCTCTTCACTCCCTTAAAAGGGGCTCAAGTTAAACGTGCCAAAAATCCCCTAGTAGTCAGGCAAACGGGGTTTCATTCCTTTGTTCATGCGCTTATTCCTGGGCTAAAAATAGCGAAGTTAAAAAGGACAATAATAAATATTTCTGCAAAGCTTAAAAAAGCAGCTAATGCCTCCTTAAATGCTTTTCAAAAATTACAACAAAAAATTAATAAAATAGCAAAAATAACGCTGCAAAATAAGCATGTGTTAAATGCCATAAATGCTAAAATAAAAAAAACTTGTGCTCGCATTAAAAAAATGCTGTTTTTATATTAATCGCTCTGGCTTAATTAAAAAAATTTGCAAGCTATTAAAAATGCTGCTGTTGTTTTTCATGCTATATCCCTTAATCATACCTTTAAGTTTTAAAAACCTCCTCCCAAATCTTAGGTCATGGTTTATGGGGCTTTTCCAAAAAATTGTCAAGTAAATTATTTTCTGTGTGTCATTTAAGTAATGTTACAATGTGCAAAATGTTTGTGTAATGCTGTTACTAAGATCTCTGCTGTCTGTAAAAAAACACAGTATCTTTCCCTCCAGCTTAATCGCAAGTTGCGCTACGGGCCTGACAATTTAAATTTAAACTTGCTGAGTGTGCAGTCCATGCCATCCTCCAGATCTTTAATGAAGATATTGAACCCAATCGGCCCCAGGACCGACCCTTGAGGCACTCTGCTTGATACCGGCTGCCAACTAGACATGGAGCCATAGATCACTACCCACTGAGCCCGACGATCTAGCCAGCTTTCTATCCACCTTATAGTCCATTCATCCAGTCCATACTTCTTTAACTTGCCGGCAAGAATATTGTGGAAGACCGTATCAAAAGCTTTGCTAAAGTCAAGGAATAACACATCCCTGCTATCCCACATTGCATTGCTTCACACCCATGTGAGTCTACGTGTTGAACTCTGTGCCCACTAGTGGTCCAGGGTGATCTGCACCAGAGGACAGCTCCCCATTTAAATGCTGGCTCATAGCCATGTGCACCCCTTTGAGTCCTACTTGTGGAGAGTTCACAAAGGCAATCACATACCCATTATAATAGCCATTTCCCCTGCTTCTGTGTAGTCCCATCTGGTGGTCCTGGACTGCCTTGCCTTCTGGGGGGAGAAGCACATCCAGTCCATGTGAATACGTGTCAGCAGAATGCCAGGATCTAGGAGCACCTGGCAGAGCACATGCAGGAGAAGCGTCATTCCTAAGACATGGCTCAGTGTTGCACCAAAGAAATCTCCAGCCAGGCCTGCTGACAGCAATTCTGGGTCCTAGGGCAGCACAGTCAATGGGCTCCCACACACACACAAGCCGCGCCTGCGTGGACACAATCCACCTGACATTTGGGCGGTGCTGGTGCCCAGCAAGCTGCTGGCTGTGCTGCTGGGCATGCTCTTCCGGCACAGCCAGGACTTCCACATACCCACCCAGTAGGGTTGCCAACTGTCTAATTGCACAAACCCAAAGACCCTTGCCCCGCCCCTTCCCTGAGCCCACGCCCCTGCCTCCTGTTCACTCCATTCTCCCTCTCTCCGTTGCTCACTCTCCCCCACCAGGGGCAGGGGGTTGAAGTGTCGGAGGAGTTGTAGGGTGCAGGCTCTGCGAGGGAATTTGGGTGCGGGAGGGGGTGCAGGCTCTGGGAGGGAATTTTGGGTGTAGGTGAAGCCTGCCTTAGCCCTGCTGCACTGCCGGCAGCAGCCGGGGGACCCCAGGCCCCTGGGTAAGTGTCTCCTTTGTCCCCCTCTCCCACAATCAGCGGGCCTGTCTCCACAGTGCTACAAGAACACAAGGGACAAGAATTCAGGATACTGGGACCCCCTTTCACTCTCTCAAATGGCAGGCCCTGCCCACTCCACTCCTTCCACATAGACAAGAACAGTTTCCACCTACACCTTTTTGTGAGCCCACCAGCATAGCCATGCATTCACTCATCACTTTGGGTGTGTTCTGCCACATGCCCATTGGTTTGAAATTTGCTCTGTGTTGTTTTAAATGGATACATTTTTTTATCATATACAACTCAGCTGAAAAATTTCACTGAGGTACAGCTCCCTCCACAAAATCAATTAATAAAATCTTCACAGAGTCACTGAATTCATTTCCTTAGTTAAAGCACATTCATTTTCTACCACTACACTCTGCCATCAAAGTAGGCACACAACATATCCCTGACCCTGTGTCTCTGTCCACTTGAGTCACCTTGTAAAGGTGTTCATAAGATCCAGAACACCTGTCTGGCTGTTCATAAGATCCAGAAAGTCCCTCCACCTCCACTTCCCAGTCATCTGCTCTCACAGATGTTGTGCAGAACACACCAAGCACTTATCACAAGAGAAAGGCATTGCTCAGCAGTCTCTAGCTTTGTCAGTAGGTTTCTCCTCCTTCCCTTCAGTCTTCCGAATGACAACTCCACTACAGTTCTGCAGCTACTTGGGGTATAGCTATATAGCACCTTTCTCATGTCCAAGTGTAGAGAACAATGGTTCATTAGCAGGGATGCAGAGGGTAAGCTACATATATTGGATAACAGGTAATTTTCAAAATAAAATTACCAAATAATTATAAAAAATCATAATTGGGAGAAAATTAATGTAATCATCAATTACTTGCTTCTCATATGTCGAGTTCAGGAAAATCAGACCAACAAATGGAATTATCTATTATGGTTATTAATCAGACTGCACTCAGGAAGTGACCGCATACAAATTTACCAAGGATTCTTTTTTCTATACACGAAGGGATGTCCCAAAATAAACAATTGAAATTGACTTTAAATAAAGAAACACATATTTAAGTAAGCAAAAATAAGAGAAGGAACCAACAATCAATTGAAAGAACAAGGATTATGCGAATGAGATTCACCAGGTTAAAAAAAAAAAAAAGTAAATAAATTGGCTGATAAAATGTAGTAACTATTAAAACAACCTCTTAACTAAACTTGAAATTCTAAAACAGAAAAGAAATTAAAACAAGTTTGGTTAACTATATAGAATGGACTAGTGTTATAAAACTGAGTATAAAACTGAAACATCTATGGGCATTTAACTCAATGATATTCACTTAATTAAAATTCACTAGTAGCTAAGCATTATTAACAGAATTCAACAAGTAGACAAATATTATCAGATAACCAAATATTAACTCAATGACATAACTAGATTAAAACTAATTAATTTGATATTAAATCTTTTAAACTAAAAACGTATTTGGACAAAACTAGATAAATTGGATAGGACAATCAAATTGAAAAGTGTAAATTTTACAAAAGCTAGCAAAACAATGACTTTTTACTTCTGTATTAAGAAGGTAACTTTGTGAAGCTAAGCATCATTCTGAAGGCAAATTCAAATGTATATAATTATTATAGCTCAAAATTCAGCATTGCTTAGATACGTTTCTAGCTAGAAATGGTTGCAATGAAACATACAAAAGCTGGGGTACAAAAATCATACGACTGGAAGGGACCTCCAGAGGTCTTCTAGCCCAGTCCCTTGCAACAGTGCAAACAGAGAAGATTAGCTCAGATTTTATGGAATTAATAGGCAATTTTATAAGTATGAAAGATCAGAAAGTAATTTGAGTAATCAAAGTTTTCAAATTAAAGTTAATCAGGCAGGTTTAGGGAGTGTTCTTAGCAAGTTGATAGGCAGATAGTGTACTGCAGGGAGAGATTTTGGTGTTTGAGTTAATAGAAAGAAGATTGTTAAAGATAATTCCACAGAAAAACACTAACGTTCATATACAGAAAGAGAACTATCATAAAGTACCCTGCTTTTGGTATTTAAAGTAGACAAAGAAAATAGGAACTAGTTAAATTCATAAACCAAGATTGGAATGAGACTATTGTGTAGCATGAGGTATTAACACATTATATTACTCTGTAGTTAAAAATACACAACACAACTGAAATTAGCATAAAAGTATTCTGAAGTTTAGAACACACACAAATAAAGATTGTAGTGAGATTCTGAAGTTAGAAGACAATTTCCTCACTCACACATACAAAGTAATGATACAAGGGTGAGAGACCAAAGGACTTGCAAGTAATTGTCACTCACACCTGTAAAAACAGAACAGTCACAGGGGTTAAGTGTAAAATACAGGACAGAGTAGAACAGTGAACAACAAAGTTACAAGTTCTCAGTAGCAGTTACAGTTAGGAACTGAGCTGAAAGCAAACAAATCAATGAATTTCCATAGATATGATAACACAATAAGAACAGTTGAACTTTAGTTATGTCCTCATCAAACCAAAAAGATTTGAAGGGTAGCTCTATTAAGCAGTAAACTAAGTGAGGTGACATCACCATCACACACACAAGGTGTGAAGAATAACTCTGGCAGCTACAGCGGAAAGCATGCGGTTTAATCAGCACCAGCTCAGTTTCAGTCTATGCCTTCACTACAGACCTTACAGCGGCCCAGCTGTACTGCAGCAGCTGCACTGCTGTAAAGTCTCCTGTATAGACAGTCAATGCCGGCAGGAAAGAGCTTTCCTGCCAACATAACTAAACCACCCCCAACGAGCGGTGGTAGCTACGTCGGCGGGAGAGCGTCTCCACCGACATAGTGCTGTCCATACAAGCATGTCTGTCGGTGAGACTTATGTCGGTCAGGGGTGTGTTTTTTTCACACCCCTGACCCACAAAATTTTTGCTGACAAAAGTGCTAGTGTAGACAAAGGCTTAGTTACAATGTTGTAATTTTCAAATTCTATTAGCCCAGTTATACTCTTGGGAGTATTTCCTCCAATCTTAAACTGCTTTAAGGCTTGATTTTTTTAATCACTATTGATAGTGAAATTCTTTTCTTTTGCACCATTTGAAATTAGGAAATATTTTATAGTTGGATGTAAGTTGTTAGGCGCTCTTAACTGGAAAATACCAAAATCATACATAAACCTAAGAGCCCAAGAGTTTGGTTTTATGGAATAGAACTGAACTCTAATGGGTTCTGTGTTCTAGGAAAACAATAATTATTCTCTCCAAGGCCAAATTCTGACTTCCTTTGAAGCACAGAAATTCCCTATAGAATTTTAGCAATAAGCATTGAAATCTTTCTGCACTTCCACTAGTAAGTGGAATTTCTCATCCTTCGTTCCATTGTTCAGTGTGCAGTCTTCTTCTTCATGGTGGAAGTTAGGATAATGTCAATGTAAGGAGTCATTAAAGCAAAGGAACTGGAGACAAGGTTTCCACCTGACAGGTGGGTGTCCTCACCACAAGACTATTGACTTAGTCTCACTCTCTCTCTCTGGCCCAGTGACTAAGTATTTATATACAGTGGAACTGTTTTACTGGGATAGACTGAGTGAGTCCCACAGCCAGACTAGCTCTGTGGCTAGGGTACTCCTCTGAGAGTTGGCAGATCCATGTTCAAATTCAGGTGGAGGGGGGACTTGATCTAAGGGTCTTCCACATCTGTGCTAAAGGTTACGAAGAAGGTTGTCTTTCTCCTCCTCAATCCCCCGTTGTTTTGTGCTGTGTTACATGGCCTCTGAACATGCCTAACAGAACATGACCCATCATGAATTGCAAGACCAAAGAGGAGCCTATCTCTGAGAGAGGGATGAGGCTTAGACCACACTACTTTCATTGGCATGTCCCATTGGCTAGCTTTGGTGGCTCCCCACCTGCTGGCCTTTATGAATCACAATCTAAAATGCCTATCTCACCCCATTCATTTTCTATGGAGTCTAGGCTACTAATTCAGGCTTTGTGGATCCCAGTGTCATTCCTGTGATTTTCTAGGTGCCTAAAAATTAGGCATTGCAATCCTCAGTGTCACAGCGCCTCAGTCCCTTGGAGCATCCAGGTCTAAAACACTATCAAGTATAAATTAGAAGTTACATTCTATCAGATGAAGCTGGTTCTAGGTGGGGGTAGTCAATAGGTCAACCATGGGCCAAATCTGGACCGCCAGAAACTTTTGAATGGGCCCCCAAATCTTTTTATTTACTAATGATTATCATTATTGTTGTTTTTTATTATTTTCTCTGAAGCCTGAACCTTGACCAAGAAATGTGGACCTTGACAAAAATAATTGACTACCCCTGTGATAACATCAAAAGTAAAACTGGGAGATGAAGGAGGATGTTCACAGTTTCTTGATAAGTCATAATCAAATGCTGTCACAATGTGCAAATCTTATCTCAGCCTCTTGCTCTTCATGGCTCTGTCCCAGGAAGATGATTTCATTTTCTGCTTTAATAAACATTTCATGTCCTAGTTACATGGCCACTCCAGCCTGGCCTGACTCTTTAAGATTCATGGGAATTGGAAAAGGTGTCCTTCACTTGGCCCAATCCTAGCCAGGACATTTCTAGGGTGTGTGTCCTATGTGGATTCTCTTATGTGTACTGAGGTTTGAGCTGTGCCGGAAGTCTTTCCCACAATCAGTGCACTTATAGGGTTTCTCACCACTGTGGAGTCTCTTATGTGACAGAAGATGTGAGCTGCTTCTAAAGCTTTTCCCACACTCATTGCATGTGTAAGGTCTCTCACCTGTGTGAGATCTCTGGTGATTAGAAAGGGCTGAGTTGTTATAGAAACTTTTCCCACAGTGAAGACACTTGTAGGGTCTCTCTCCACTGTGGATTCTTTGATGTTCAGAAAGGGCTGAGCTTGCACGGAAGCTTTTTCCACATTCGGAGCACTTAAAGGGTTTCTCCCCTGTGTGGATCCTCTGGTGAGTAGTAAGGGTTGACCTGCGAGTGAAGCTGTTCCCACATTCAGGGCAGTTATACGGTTTCTCTCCTGTGTGGGTTGTATGATGTGATCGAAGGTGAGAGAGGCAACTAAAGCTTTTCCCACACTCATTGCATTTGTAGGGTCTCTCCCCTGTATGGGTTCTCTGATGATCATTGAGTTCTACACTGTAACTGAAGCTTTTCCCACAGTCCGGGCAGCTATAGGGTTTCTCTCCTGTGTGAATTCTCTGATGCTTAATAAGCGACGAACTTTGACTGAAGCTTTTCCCACACTCATTGCATTGGTAGGGTCTCTCTCCTGTATGGGTTCTCTGATGTGATAGAAGGTTTGAGCTCTGAATGAAGCTTTTCCCGCAAGTAGGGCATTCATAGGGTTTCTCCCCCGTGTGGGTTCTCTGATGTGATAGAAGATTTGAGCTCACACGGAAGCTTTTCCCACACTCACTGCATTCATAAGGTTTCTCTCCTGTGTGGATTCTTTGATGCTGAATAAGGGTTGAGCTCCGACTGAAGCTCTTCCCACAATCAAGGCAGTTATAGGTCTTCTTTCGTTCGTGGACTGTACGATGTGTAATTAGGGCTGAGCTCTGTTTGAATCTTTTCCCACAGTCCAGGCACGTGTAGGGTCTCTCTCCTGTATGGGTTCTCTGGTGTCTAGTAAGTTGTGATCTGCACCGGAAACTTTTCCTACAGTCACCGCATGTGTAGGGTGTCTTACCAGTGGGGATTCTCTGTTGAACCATGTCTTTGTTTTTCTTAACCCATATTTTCTGGTTAGAGGATTTACACTGTCTCTGCCCCAGCTGGTATTCTTGCATGCAAAAGTCAGTGCAGGCCAGAGGGGCAGCATCTCCATGCTCAGGAATCTGGGAAGCCTCCCCTTCAGATCTTTCTGATGTCCTGTGTGGTTCCAATTGCTCAGGATATTCCTGATTCTCCTCCTTGTTCTCATTTACCATCCTCTCACCTGCTGTGACAAAGAGAATCCAGATACAAGTCATTCCCTGTGCCGGGGGGGAAGGGAACCTCAGAAAGGGGAACAGTAAAGGGCAGAACAAACCAAAATAACTGCGGGGGAGACTGAAATAGCAGCAGCTGAACCCTACCCACCCCCAAACCCTGCCCCAGAGGAGAGAGAGGAGGAGACCTATCCTTCAAATATAGATGAAGGCAGGGGCTGAAGGGCCAGACAGGCTTCATGAAAATGCCTAAGGGACATCTGCCATGAGGATACAATAATTGGTTTCTGAATCAGTGTAGCTGATTCCTCACCTGTATAGGCATCTCTCCGTATCTCCCATTCCTGGAGACTGGGGACCCACAGTTTTTCCTCTCGTTCCAGCCAGGAGGTCACACTGGGTTTGGAAACTGGAAATCCTGCATCAGGGGGAGGACAAGGAAATAAGTGCTGATCTTGTTCATTAAGGTGAGTGCTGTTACTACTTCCAGATCCAGGAGCTGAATAAGCAACCCAGAAAGGCTCCTTCCTCTCCCCACCCCCATGCTATAGGAATTGGGCTATAAATCAGTCAGACCCCTTGACACGCTGGTCTAGACCAACGGTTCATCCACTCTGCCTAGGGAATTGGCATAACATATTTCTCTAGGGAGCTGAGCAGAATTGTTTTGCTCTCAAGACATATGGGGTACAATCAAGTCTCCATCCCTGCCAAATATACCACCCTCTCCCAACACACACAAGTCGCTCCTTAACACAAGCCAGATCAGGAAGATACCTTGTGAGCTTATTGGGCTGGGGACTGTGTCTCATTATGTCTAAGGCTATGATTTTGTCATGGAGGTCATGGAAGTCACGGAATCTGTGACTTTCAGAGACCTCCATGACTTCAACCCGCAGTGGCTCGGAGCTGCGGGGTCCCCCCACTGCCCATGGTGGCTCAGATCCAGGTGGCCACTGCGGGTGGGGGACATCCAAGCTGCCATGGGTGGCGGGGGAACCCCACAGTTCACGGCCATCGCAGGAAGTGGGGGCCCCTGGAGCTCTGTGCCGCCGTGGGTGATGGGGGCCCCCACGGAGCTCTGAGCTGTGAGTGGCAGGGGGACCCTGGAACTCCAAGCTGCCAGGAACAGTGCGGGCCCCCAAAGCTGTCCAGCCACCGTGGGCAGTGGGGGATTCCAGAGCCCCAGCAGCGATGGATGCTGGAGCCTTCTCCCTCCCCATTTTGTCACGGATATTTTTAGTAAAATCATGGACAGGTCTCCAGCTTCCATGAATTCTTCTTTATTGCCCATAACTTATACTAAAAATATCCATGACAAAATCTTAGCCTTACTCATAGCTCATGTTTTCTGAAACTTTTATCATTTTTGTTGCTCTCCTCTGGACTCCCTTTAATTTGTCCACTTCTTACTTAAAATGTGGCACCCAGGACTGGAAACAGTCCTCCAGCTGAGACTTCCCCACTGCTGAGTAGATCAGGACAGTTACCTCCTGGGTCTTACATATGACACTCCTGTTGATACACCTCAGGATATTAGCCTTTTTCACAACTACATCACATTTTTGACTCGTATTCAATTTGTGATCCACTATAACTCAGAGTTCCTTCTCAGCAGTAGTACTGTACCACAGTTCCCTAGTTCACTTATGAGAATGTCATATAGGACTGTTTCAAAAGCTTTACTAAAATTAAGATAAATCATGTCTACTGCTTCCTCCCACCCACTCGACCAGTAACCCTGTCAAAGAAGGATATTAGGTTAGTTTGGCATGATTTGTTTTTGACAAATACATGGTGGCTACTATTTATTATCTCATTATCCTCTAGGTGCTTACAAATTGACTGTTATAATTTGGTTCAGTATCTTTCCAGGTATCAAAGTTAGGTTGACTCATCTATAATTCCCAAGGTCCTCTTTGTTCCCCTTTTAAAGCTAGGTACCATGTTTGCCCTGCTCCAGTCCTCTAGGACCTCACTCACCTCAATAAGTTCTGAAAGGAAATTGCTGCTGCATTCAAGATTGCTTCATCTAGTTGGTTAAGTACCTGGGGGTGAATTTTGTCAGGCCCTGACAACCTGAATAAATCTAACAGAATATTTTTTAACCTGTTCTTTTCCTATTCTGGCTTGTGTGCCTTCCTTCTTAATAGCAGATGTGGGAAACATCTGGTCACAATTAACTTTTTTAGCCAAGACTGAAGCAAAATATGTTGTCCTTTATTAGCTCTCCTTCCCCGCCAAGTAGAGAACAAACATTTTCCTTCATCTTTCTCTAGTTCCTAATGTATTTAAAGAACCTCTTACTGCTTTTTACATCCTTTGCTATGTGCAACACGTTTGGTGCCCTAGCCTTTCCAGTCATATCCCTACATGCTTCTACTACTCGCTCATATCCATCCTTTGCAATCTCTCCAGATATCCACTTTGGTGGGATTCCCTTTCAATTTTCAGGTTATTGAAAAATCTCCTGATGCAGCCATATTGGCCGCTGACTATTTTTCCTACCATTTCTTCACATCAGGATAGTTTGCTGCTGTGCCTTAAATATTGTCTCTTTGAGAAAGTATCAGCTCTGTTGAAGTCCTTTTTTGCTTAGACTTTCTTCCCAGGGAACCATACCTACTAATTCTCTAAGTCTGCTTTTTTGAAGTCCATTGTCCTTGTTCTGCTGATCTCAAGTCATTCCTTCCCTAGATGCAAGAGAGGTTCCATCCTAACAAATTCAACTACCGCATCCCCATAATCTCCCAGGTGCCCAGTCAAGCAAATCTCTTAAACTTAGTGCTTGAGTTCCATTGACTTTCATGAAATTAAGCATCTGTATAGGTGCTTGGTGACTAGTGATGGTTTGCTGAATTGGGCCTTGAGACCAGAGACAAGACTGACAGACTTTCCAACTAATGTACAGATCTGCAAACATACGTTTTTAGCTGTACAGGCTAGACAGGAATATTATGAACATCTAGTCTGACTTCCTGTGTCAAACACAGGCCAGAGAACCTCACCCAAAGATTGCTCCATCAATCCCATATCTTTTGGTTGAGCTAGACTATATTTATTAGAAAGAGACATCCAAATGATGAAGACTCCACCACACTCTTGTGTAATGTACTCCATTGACTATGACTGGCCTGAATTCACCCATCTTCAGCTTCTACTCATTGAATCACATTCTGACTTTGGCTGCTAGATTAAGGAGCCCTCTGGTATCAGAAATCTTCTCTTCATGTAGGCACCTATGTATTCAAAACATCTCTTCTGTATGAACTTAATAGACTGAGCTCTGTAAGTCTCTCAAGTCTTGTCTACACGACGGCTTAAGTTGATGTAAGTTACATTGCTCGGGGGTGTGAAAAACCCAGCCCGCTGAGCAATGTAACTTACAATCAACCTAATGCAGTGTCTATGCTCTCCTGCCGACATAGCTTCCACCTCTCATTGAGGAGAAGTAATTATGTCAACAGGAGAGCATTGATTGCAGGGGTACTGATTTAGCACGGTAGTGAAGCAAAGCTCTTATTCAAAGGCAGATTTTCCAGACCTCAGCTCATTCTTGTGGGACCAGAGAGGTTAAAACTGTGAGTTTCAAAGTGGCCAGACAACTCAGTTAGCAGGGGCTGGATGTCTAACTCCCTTGGGTATCTTTGAAAGTCACAGCCTCAGAGACTTACAAGAGCTTCAAGTGTGTAGTAGTGCATGAAACTGAACCTAAGTCTTCTGATTCCAAGTGCAGTGCCTGAAACACAAGACCCCTCCTCACATTTTTCTACTCTAGTGATGTTCCACAAATAGTACACCCAGATATTAAATTACCGGTACTTCATAAGCCCTCAGTCAGCGCAGAGCCCAATGACTCTCACTGAGAGAAATCATAATTTCACAGAAATCAACCCCCGCCAGGAACAGACACCAGGAACAACAGCCTCTTTGCAAGAATTCAGCACACTGGCAAAAGAAAGAAGCACTAGCAGAAACTGGCCACAGCCCCATGACACTGGTCCTTGCCCTTCCTGACTAGTAGAAGAGTGAAGTACACCTTGGTACCTCCTGCTAAAACAACTGGTTGAGGCGGAACGTGGGCAAGATGCAGATAAAGCTCATTTGAAAATCTGGCCACTTAGGCAAAGCTGAGTCATGACTTGAGACACTTGTCCAGCTCTGAGGTCACAAAGTGCTCAGAGGCCCAAGAGGACGGAAGTAACCTCAGGAAGGGTGAAGAGAGAGTGAGTCTGTCTCACTTGAAAACCTTGGTTATGGAAGGGTAGCACCATTGTTGTATCCCTGACTCTGCTGTCCTGTGTGAGGGCATGTGGAAGTGACGGTCTTTCACACACAGGAGCTGGGGACTATACAGACTGACCCCTGAAGCATGGGCGGGGGGTGGGGGGAAATCATTGAAGAACCCTGCACAGAAGACAACCCAGCTACTTCTCAGCCCTCCTCTCCCAGCTTCTAATACCAGAGAGGACAGGAATCCTTACCCAGCGAGGTCACAGTCTCATAATTCTCCCGCATCACATCCTTGTAGAGGGCTCTCTGACCCAGGTCCAGCACAGCCCATTCCTCCTCGGAGAAATACACAGCCACCTCCTCAAAGGTCACTGGCTCCACTGCAGCCATTTCCCTTCCCTGTCTTTCCATGGATTGGATGACCTGGAGCAAAATGTGGATGTTATTCTGCAACCTGTCAGGGCAAGAATAGACTCATAGACTTTAAGGTCAGAAGGTACCATTATGATCTTCTAGTATGACCTCCTGCACAACGCAGGCCACAGCATCTCACCCACCCACTCCTGTAACAAACCCCTGATCTATGTCTGAGCTACTGAAGTCCTCAACTTGTGGTTTAAAGACTTCAAGGTGCAGCGAATCCTCCAGCAAGTGTGGCTGGGGAGGTTTTCAGAAGGGATTTAGTCCATTTCAAACCCTGACTTCCCCCAGACTTTCTCTACCATTCTAGGGGAATGCTAAATTAGTGGCCTACATTTGGATTTAGGTGTCTAAATTATGCTCCTGTATTTAAAGATCCCATCCTTCATCACTTTATTTATAACACAAACCCATCTCCTCCTCCAGGGGACCACTCAGAAGTTTGTGAAATCAGATCCTAAAATTTATAGAATTTAATGCCTGACAGGACCACTGGATCATTTAGTCTGACTTTCAGTATGTCAGAGACCATGAATTGTTACCCAGTTTACCTTGCATCTCCCGAAAGACCTATGTTTGGCAAAACATATTTTCTAGAAGTTATCCAGTGTTGATTTGAAGACATCAAGAGAATCTACCACTTCTTTGGTAATTTGTTCCAGTGGTTAATCACCTTCACTATTAAAATTTATGCTTAATTTCTAATTGGATTTATCTGGCTTCAGCATCCAGATACCAGCTTATGTTGGGCCTTTATCCACTAGAGTAAAAAGCCCTTTATTACCACTATTTTCTGTCCCTGAAGGTACTCATACAGTGTAATCAAGTCACCTCCCAGTCTTCCAATATATTTATTTTTTATGATAAACTAACATATTGAGCTCTTGATGTTTCTCAATGTAAGGATTTTTTCCCCACCCATTAATCACATTTGTGGCTGTTTCCTACATTCTCTAAAAAGTCTCCAGCAAAAGAGATTTTGCCAGACTGGAGAGAGAACTGTGTCTGACATAGGAATTCCTTCTTTGTCAATGTAAAATGTCTAGTCTAAATTCTTAAAGCACTAGAACTGATTAAAAAGAAACAATCCTTTTTGTAATGGTAAAATTGTAACTTGCTCTTGTTCCCATTCCCTTTTCATTAACAGACTAATTGGCTTCTTATCAGACTTTCCAAAATAAATTTACAGAGGACAGAAACTATAAAGATAAACATAGCAATTGCCAGACTACATGAGAGGCCAGATGCATCTAGTAACTGTGAGGATGTTATAAGCAACTGAAGAGGCTCCTTTAGTCTGAAATTGTGCAGCCAACGCTAACTGTCAGTGTCACTCTGTGCTCCAGCTATAATGATTAAAGAATCCACTTTGAGAGATTTCCCCTGACACTGTCCCCAGGGCAGCGCATCCCCCCAGCAGCACAGGGACTAGGCAGAGGCAGGAACTGGCTTTTCCTCTCCCTGCCCCTCACCGTGTCCCAGGAAAGTCTCCCGCTGCCTCTGCCAGTCTCTCCCCTGTCTCCCTCCTGCCCTCACCCCTCGGGCTGGAAGATTCGGTCCCTCCCCCGGCCCGGGGCGTTCGCTTTCCCGGAACTGGCTCGGGTCCTGCAGGCGCTCAGGGAGGCAGAGCCTGGGGGGGTTAGGGAGGGCAGCAGCTCTGGGACTCGCAGACCCCCGCCCCCGGGAGCGGAGCTGGGGCGAGGAGGGGCCGTTGGTGCAGAGTCACTTTCCTGCCCGGCCCCAGCCCTTTCCCCCGGGTCTCTCCCCTCACCTGCAGGCTCCGGCTCAGGAGCTGGTGTCGGCAGAGCCCGGGGCTGCCCCAGGGGCTGGTTCCAGCCCCCGGAGAAAGTCCCTCCCGGCTGGGCACAGAGAGTTGCTAGGGAAGGGCTCTCCCCGCACAGACCCCGCTGGGGAGCAGCAGCGGCTCAGCCCAGACTCCCGGCTCACAATGGAGGAGGCGAGGGAGGCTGTAGCAGCTGCAGCGTCTGACCCAGGAAGTTCAACCCTCATCTGCTGAGCAGCAGTTGCTGCCCTGCCCTCCCCTCACTCTGCCTTGCTACCACCAGACTCTGCTTCCTGCAAAACAGACATAAATGGGGGAGCCAAGGGCAAATTGGAGGGGTGGGATGGGGCCACTGTGTAGAGTGGGCAGGGAAAGGAGGAGGTCAGATATATGAAACCAAAGGCAGGGTGCAGGAGCTGGGGCTCAGGACGTGGGAGACACTCTCAGCAGCACCCTGTATCTCCATATGGTTTGATGGTTAATTCGCAGTGCAGCCCCCTGCCTGGACAAGGCAGCTGTGTTTTGTGTCTGTGTACGTTTAAATGAATTCTGTCAGCTGACATGGACGTAAGCTGCAGATCCATGCAGCCTTCACAAATTTGACTTATCTGCTCTTGCTATTGCCTGAGCTGGACGGACTCCCTTTCCTGTAATCTACAGTAAATGTTTTTTCACTGTTTTTAATTATTTGTTTTGATAAGTTATTTTATGCCTTTTATTGTTCTTAGCACTCCATCATTTCACTTGATTAACACTGTCCAGATGAGTGTCATTTGCTACCTTGTTTTTATAATAAATCATCATAAACAATGTTATTAATATTAACAGTAGCATTAATGTTAATTAATATTAACTGATGGTAGTAGATTAATCAGTCACATCTCACAATATTCTAATGTAAAACTGCCTGTATTTTAATTAATTTGTAATATACAATTTATAAATATAAATATAAAATTCCTCCATAGCACATGCTTATTCTTCATGTTCTAAACTGACTATCGAAACTTCTTCCATTTTCTTTGATGCACCAATGAGGACTGCCTTTTTCAGCTGTTATTTTGCCTCTGTATCCAGCTTTTTTGTGCTTTTTTGGTGTGTGCTATAACTAATTTCCAAAATATTCTATATTTTATATGAAATCCATCTGAAAGGAAAATTTCAACTCTAATTATTATTAAATGTTGATATATAGAATTTAAAACTTTAATAATTCCAAAGTAATGATTCATGCACCAACAAATTAAGAATTTTAAAAATAAATGCATTTTCAATTCTTTCATTGAATCATAGAATATCTGGGTTGGAAGGGACCTCAGGAGGTCATCTAGTATAACCCCTTGTTCAAAGCAAGATCAATCCCCATCTAAATCATACCAGCCAGGGCTTTGTCAAGCCTGACCTTAAAAACCTCTAAGGAAGGGCATTCCACCACCTCCCTAGGTAACCCATTCCAGTGCTTCACCAACCTCCTAGTGAAAACGTTTTTCCTAATATCCAACCTAAACCTCCCCACTGCAACTTGAGACCATTACTCCTTGTTCTGTCATCTGCTACCATTGAGAAAAGTCTAGATCAGGGGTTCTCAAACTGGGGACATTGAGAATAGTCTAGATCAGGACCCCTCAGGGGGTTGCGAGGTTATTACATGGGGGGTCACAAGCTGTCAGCCTCCGCCCCAAACCCTGCTTTGCCTCCAGCATTTATAATGGTGTTAAATATATTTTAATTTATAAGGGGGGGCACACTCAGGGGCTTGCGATGTGAAAGGGGTCATCAGTACAAAAGTTTGAGAACCACTGGTCTAGATCCATCCTCTTTGGAATCCCCGTTCAGGTAGTTGAAAGCAGCTATCAAATCTCCCCTCATTCTTCTCTTTTGCAGACTAAATAATCCCAGTTCCTCAGCCTCTCCTCATAAATCATGTGCTCCAGACCCTTAATCATTTTTGTTGCCCTCCGCTGGACTCCTTCCAATTTTTCCACATCCTTCTTCTAGTGTGGGGCCCAAAACTGGACACAGTACTCCAGATGAGGCCTCACCAATGTCGAATAGAGGGGAATGATCACATCCCTCCATCTGCTGGCAATGCTCCTATTTATACTGCCCAAAATGCTGTTAGCCTGCTTGGCAACAAGGGCACACTGTTGACTCATATCCAGTTTCTCATCCACTGCAACCCCTAGATCCTTTCCTGCAGAACTGCTGCCTAGACATTCGGTCCCTAGTCTGTAGCAGTGCATGGGATTCTTCCATCCTAAATGCAGGACTCTGCACTTGTCCTTGTTGAACCTCATCAGATTTCTTTTGGCCCAATCCTCTAATTTGTCTAGGTCCCTCTATATCCTATCCCTACCCTCCAGCATATCTACCACTCCTCCCACTTTAGTGTCGTCTGCAAACTTGCTGAGGGTGCAGTCCACGCCATCCTTCAGATCATTAATGAAGATATTGAACAAAACCGGCCTGAGGACTGACCCTTGGGGCACTCCGCTGCCACCTAGACATGGAGCCATTGATAACTACCCGTTGAGCCCAATGATCTAGCCAGCTTTCTATCCACCTTACAGTCCATTCATCCAGCCCATGCTTCTTTAATTTGCTGGCAAGAATACTGTGGGAGACCATATCAAAAGCTTTGCTAAAGTCAAGGAATAATGCATCCACTGCTTTCCTCTCATCCACAGAGCCAGTTATCTCATCATAGAAGGCAATTAGGTTAGTCATGCATGGCTTGCCCATGGTGAATCCATGCTGACTGTTCCTGATCACTTTCCTCTCCTCTAAGTGCTTCAAAATTGATTCCTTGAGGACCTGCTCCATGATTTTTCCAGGGACTGACGTGAGGCTGACTGGCCTGTAGTTCCCTGGATCCTCCTGTCCTTCCTCCTTTATCTTTGCCTTTTTGTTTCTGGGCCTTTGGGATGCATTAGCTTCATATTTTCAAGGCTTTTTCCAAAACCACAAAGGCTAGATTTCCTTTCCTTTCATGAAACCTGTAGTTCTCAGCTCATCTCAATGCCAGCAGCTTGTGTTTCAGAAAATCTAGCAATATTGCCATAGTCATGATAAAATCACATGAGTCGGCAACACTGCAGGTTTATTTAGGCTATTATAAGATAGTGTCACTCTGTCAAATTCTGCATTCTGACAAGTTTACTTTTCTGTTTTGCCAAAATCATTTTTAAATTTTTTTAAATGAAATATCCTGTACTCCTTTGCATTGATCTCAGAAAACTAATTTTGCTGCTCTATCACAGCATTTTAAAACATGTGCATATAATGATTCTAACTAATCAATTAGGTTTACATTAGCACATTTCTATGACATAAAACATTGGCAATTGCTGTTTTTTTCTGTGACTGATAACAATTATTTCCCTGACTTCAGTAGTCATTGCAATGTTCACTCCCATGTAGTTATGGATTAAAATAAACCAGATTGTAATAGAAGACTTGCTGTCTGTGGGTTTCTCTTCACTGTAGAATAAACCCAGTTTATGAGCCTGGTATAGACAGCCAGAAAGTGCACCTCTGATAAGAGAGGTAGGGTATAGGCGGATGAGGGAAGTAAGAGATGGCATGGGTGCCCACATCTGCACTATGCGGGGGAGGGGAGGAGGAAAGGAATCATCATTGTAATGGATAACCTGTGAGAACCATATCAGTGAGCTGTACTGATTTGCCTGTCTGATTCAATGTGTTCCATTTCCTCATTGCCAGTTTTATTATAATTTATGGTGCTGATTTGAGATTTTATTAAAAGTTTTGTCATGAAATTCCTTCCTCTCTAGTGTGTGCTAAGCACTCACACACCAAAAGATTGAGCAGCACAAATCATTTATTACAAGTTAGCAGCTCATTCCTCCCAGCTATCACAATGTGAACTCCTGCCCCCCACCCAAGTATGTCAGTTATAAGAATGGAACTTCCCATGACCAAATCACAATGGACACATCTGTCCATGCACACTTCCACCCATGAATTGTATGGAGTGGTTCATTCCCCACCCAGAATTGCTCATTGACAGCAGGACAATGGTAGTGAGGAGGAGAAACAACTGGATGCTCTAGTGGGAGGGGGAAGAGAGGGTGGCACCAGGGCTGGAATTTGCTGCTGCCTACTGGCCATCAGGCCAAGCAGCAGCACCATCAGTTAGTTCCCTAGTCTGCTGTTGCTCTTCCCACTGCAGCTGTCAGACCTGCTGTCTCACGGAGTGGTCATGAGCAATGTGGGACTGGACTATTACACAGGAAGAATTGGATACGCTTTGGGACTGGAGTAATAGAAATGAGATGAAATTTAATAGTACAAAGTGAAAGGTCACTATGGTCTAATTGCAAGAATTTCTGCTATAACCTAGGGGCTCATCAGTTGTAAACAGCAGAGGAGGAGAGAGACTGGGGTGTTTTAGTTGATAACAGTATAACTATGAGTTACCCATGTAATGTGGCCAGGAAAAAGGCAAATACAATGCTAGGATGCATCAGGCAAGGTATTTCCAGTAGAGATAGGGATGTATTAATGGCATTGTACAAGACACTGTAAGACCTTCTCTGAAACACTGTGTACAATTCTGGTCACCCATGTTCAAGAAAGATGAATTCAAAGTGGGACAGGTGCAGAGAAAGGCTGGTAGGATGCTCAGAGAAATGAAGACTCTGTCTCACAAAAGTAGACTGAAACGGCTTGGCTTGTTTAGCCTAGAGAAACAAAGGCTGAGAGGGGACCAGAATTCTCTGTACAAATACATCAGGGGATGAACAACAGGGACAGGGAAGAGGTATTTAAGCTGAAAGATGTTGGCAGAAGAACAAATGAGGATGAACTGGCCATGTACAAATTTAGTCTGGAAATGAGAAGGTTTCTATCCATCAGAGGAGTGAGGATCTGTAAGAGAGTGGAGCAGTGGAAAAAACAACCTAACTAGCTTGAAGATGGGGCTTGAACAGGAT